TATGAAGACATAATGCAATCACATGATATAAATGTAACTCAAATACGTGTATTTTTTGTTTATATTTCATATAAAAGATAATAAGTTCAATCGAGAAATTTGTTAATGAGCGATTACAATATGTTAACATATCATATTCAAAATAATAGATTATTAATGCGTTGAAAACACAAATACATATTTATCATATTTCTATACCATAGATATATTTATATATATTAATATATATTTATATAGAGCTTCTTGCGGTAGGTAGAGATCTGATTCCAACTCATGTGTTTGGCTTCAGGAGCAACCATTCCACACTAGATAATTTTCATAGAATTTATAGAATTTCATAGATAGTATAGATAGAGAAGGAACGAACATATGGACACAGTCGGATTCTAGGTATAGTTCCAAACTGTCTATATAAAATGACATCGGATTATCTGAACCAGCGCATAGACTTTAAAAGGAATTTCCGGACAATATTCCCTTCAAGAAATGAGTGGAAAAAGAAAAATTTCGAAGCAAACTACGACATCTCAATATATACAGATGTCTCGAAAATGAACTGTGGGGCAGGAGCAGGAATTATCGTACCATCTGCAAACATAAACAATTCCCTTAGGCTACCTAATGAAGCTACGATCTTTCAGGCTGAAATTTTAGGAATTAGAGAAGCCTGTCAACAAACTGCTAGCCACATCGAGGAGAGATGTAGTGTTGCTATTTTTATTGACAGCCAGGCAGCAATTAAAGCCCTTGAATCCTTCATAACAAAATCAAAAATATTAAAAAAATGTAGAGAACCATTTGCGAGCTAAATCAGTTGGCCGATATCACCCTCATTTAGGTTCCTGGACATAGGAATATCGTAGGGAACGAGAAAGCTGACAGTTTAGCCCGCTCTGGTGTCTCTCTGGATGCATCACTGGCGGTGCCGGTTTATATAACCCTGGAGACCATTAAAAGAAGTACCTTCCTCTACTTTCTGCAACTTGCCAATAACAGATGGAAAGTACTTAGGTCATGTGCAATTTCCAGGTTAACATGGCCCACCTATAATAAAAACAAATCACGGAACTCATCAAAAGGGATCTTGTGAACACTGCAAGGCTTACTGCAGTTCTTACTGGTCATTGGTGTGTAGGAACTCATGCAGAAAAACTGCGTATTCTCCATAACCCTCATTGCAGAACTTGTGGAAACTCGCAGGAGAAAGAAACAATAATACATTTTCTCTGTGAATGCCCGGCTTTAGGATCTAGAAGATATAGGTTCTTAAGAAAATACTTCTGTAATAGTTTGTCAGACTGCTCAACGGTGAAGATGAAAGACCTATTAAATTACCTAAATTCAGCGAGATGTAATTAGTCTCTACTCTTCTATACTAGGGTTCTTGCGAGGAATGTGGTAACAAAACGGCGAAAACCGATAATTGAGGTACATTCGGAGTTACCAAATGGCCTGCCACTGCAACCAACCAACCAACCATAGATAGAGAAAGCTTTCTATATAAAAAAAGATTTAGATAGACTTTGGCATAAGCGTCTACAGAAATAGTTGAGGTCATTACGTCATTACTACTACCACATCTATACAGTTTTCTAGTATCATATCTTAAAAACAGGTTTTTTATCCGATTCTAGTTCATCTGTTTGGCTTTAGGAACAAGCACTCTACGCTAAATAATGTTCATACAATGGTTGCTAATATACTACCGAAAAAAGAATATTCTGTCTTTGACCTACCACAACTTCTTTATAAAGTTTGGCAAAAGCTAATGCTGCCTTTACGGCAGTACCAGATACGGCCTTAATATTCGCGAATAAGTAACGATTTGGATAATAAATAATATCGATACTAATATCTATTAACTTTCGAAATCTTAAGTTTTAAAAAAAAATTATATAAGGAATATATAATAGATATGGGATACACTAAACTAACTAGCACAATCTTCAATCCAATCAAAATTCTTCTTGAAATAAACGCTTAATTTTGCTATAATGACGGTAGCAGATAAGCAGATAAGTACAATGTGAACATGAAGATTTAAATCAATAACGTTTTTAGTAGTGTTAAACTAATTAACAAGTCTCTTCCAGTTCTTCCAAAAACATAACAATGTTCGTTAAATCTGATTAAAAGGGACTACTCTATATTTACACATGAAAAAGTAAAACAAAAAGATAGGTAAAGTGGAAAGAAAGTTGAATCTTCTTAAATTAGGTAAGAAAACCGTCATGATCCACATTCCTCGCAATTGTAGATAGAAAGTTGTGCATATTAGAACCAGCAAAATGCAATTTTCTGGTCAATGTTAATGTTGAAAATAACGCTGAGAAAATTAAAGATTGAACCATCCCAAAGCTTGAAACGGTGTAGGGATAAAAGTGGACATAGATGCAACAGGCGTTCCAGCATTTCCTCCTCGAGCGCCAGTTAATATGTTCTTCAAGTGACTCCGCAAAGTAGGCCCTGACTGGCTCTATGCCATCATATAAAACGGGAGTTTCTATCGAAGAAATAACAAAAAAAAGAGACATGTTGTCATATTAAGACATATTGAAAGCATTTCATAACTAAAGATATAAGTATATAAAACCTGCATTGCAATGAAAATTGGCTGGAGTTTTATCCAAAATGTTTTTAAAATATGTATTTATTAAAACTTAAAATAAGTACACGAAATTTATTGCAATATTAAGAAATAAAAAAAACTGTGTAGCAATGAATCTAGAAGAAAAATGAATACCAGAACTAAAGTTGACTGATAGAAGAGACTGATAGAACTTGTAGAAAAGAGAAAGCTGTTGGTGTTGGTGATGAGAAAGGTTGGCATAAAATCTTTATATTTTTAGAAGATTTCGAGATATCACCAACGCTTTAGTTGCATGAATATATATTAACAACTAAGAAGAAGTATCACATTAGGTTACGTTAGGTTACGTTAGGTTATTCCGGCGATCCCTAGGTAATCCCTTTAGACATATTGGCCAATTGTGTTAACGTATATGGAGAAAAA